GGGAACGTTTATAAATCTAACATGTTTTGCGTCATCAGAGAAAGAGTTATGAAGAAAAAGAAAGAAAGAGAAAAAAATTCTGGTATTTTTAATTTTTCTATTGTTTATTTTTTATTGGTTAAGCAGACTTTACGTGTATTTGTCTTGTCAAGCAACGTTGATGTGTATAATTTATGTAAGTGTATCATAATTCTAATTTGTCTGTGCCTGATTCCGATGATATTATCCAATATATAAAAATAAATTATCATTTGATATCTTAATATGGTCTCCTTGACTTTCTATAGCCTTCATCAGTTTTTCAATAATTGATATTATTATACTTCTTGCTTTTAATATTAAATAGATCAATCTGGGAAATTAGTTTTTTCAGTGTATTCAGTTCAGTTTAAGAAACGCAGAGGATAAGAACTATAGATGCCTTTATTGAAATTACAGAGTTAAATTAAAAATGTACAAAATAACACAAAAATAAGCTATAAGCAAAAATAGGCGTGTGAATAAGGATAAATATGCAGATGTGACACAACCTTTTTTTTTTCAATTCTTAAAACATCTATTATAATTCCTTGGGTTGCATTAGTTTGGCCTCAGTTTCAAAAATGTTAAGAGATCAATTTTATGCTTTCAGGAAACAAACTTCAAAATAGTCTGGTCCATATCAAATATTTAACATTTTTTAATTATTTCCTGATGATAACTATTTATTGAACATTTTGGTTAAAAAGTAGAAATGTTTGATTTCCGTCGATAAATAATTTTGCTATGTGCATTCTATAACAGTAAAACATGTCTTTCAAGTTAATTGCTGTAAACTTGTTCCTCTGTTTTTCATGAATACTGGCAAACATCTATTTACTTAGTTAAACTAAGTCTGATGAAAGAAAGATTACACTCACTCGGAAATTCAGATTTGTAAATTTGACAATTTCTTCTGGGTTTGCACAAAGATTGTTAACAATGAATATTTACATATAAATAGAAACACGCAATGTCTAATTCCTTTGTATTGTTATCATATTGACTTCTACAAAATAAAACCTTGTTTACTAGATTCTTTACCTTCATTCAAGTTCCCTTTTCCGAAGAGAGTAGATGTCAATCAGCATGGCGTCAATATGAAATAAACATTTCAATTAATTTTAGTTTCAAAGTATCATTTCATAACTTCGATCGAATTCTTGAAAGGAAAATCCTGATTAGTGGACAATTACAATTGCCCCTAAAGTTGTTAGTCCTTATTTGGGGATCAAAACTACTATGTGCATATTGAATTCTGGTTGTATGTTCTAAGACTATTAAATTATTTTTCTTCTTGTTTGCTCTCTTTTTCATATTATTATCTACGGAGCCTAATGATGTAAAGTTCATTTATTTTACAACATAATCTCTTTCTTTGTCAATGCAGTGTGCATGCATAAATATGTTTTATCTCGCATTATCCATTATGTTATATAATAAAGCAGTCCATCCTGGACATCGGGATGGCACCCCAGCACCACACCATTCCAGTATCCCAACCCCGAAATAAAATCATTCACTACTTAATCCGCAAAAAAAGCAACCAAATAGGAGGTATCTAACTGTTACCAATTCTGAAAACTACAATAGGATGTAACTGTTAACCAATGTCGATTAACGAATCGTGTCATTGAAAAGTGACATTACTGCATATATTTTCACTTAACTAATAACAAACGATTTAAAATATGTAATATGTCACAACAGAAGCATTTATAATACATGCAATAAACATTTAATTTCGATAATTTACTTATACATGTGCAAGTATTTTTATATACATACCTAATGTGAACCCCCCCACAAAAAAAAACTGAGAATTTTAAAATTCTAAACTATTAAATTTAACTTTATGTTGTATTCAATTTATTTGTATTTAATAAGTAATCAATATAGTCAATAAATTAGGTAAAAAGAAAAGACAAATAAAATATACAAATATTTAATAAAAACGTGAGGCTCAAATTAAATCAAAATTAACCTATACACTATAAGATTAATAAGAGTTAAAATGCAACCCTTTACCACCTATCGTGAAATACGCTATTAATTACTAACATTAAAATATAAATCCAGTATTAATGTTTATAAAAATCCGGTTTAAATCGTGTTAAGAAATTTGTATATAAATGCTTTTACGTGTATGTCTATGTTAATTAGTATATGCAGGTAGACTGGTTGATAGATTTCAAGTAGAAGAATAGATACAAATATACTCTGATGTCAAAATAGCAAGAGTTATATAAGCTTAGTTAGATATGACCATAGATAGATAGATAGATAGATAGATAGATAGATAGATAGATAGATAGATAGATGTTGGAAGGATGCATTCTGATGACAGAATTACCGCATCTTTGTCCATATCAAAGTATCCTCTTTTCTGATGTCCTAAACATTTGTCAACCCTACCCCATTTTCATTATCCCAAATTGACAACGATTGATTGCTTTTAATGTCATCTAAGTGACGTTCATTAATTTCCAAACCTCCTGCTTGGTAGTCTACGCAACAGAGAAGAGGATGCAAAATGACTCAAACGAATTACACCTGCTGGGTCGATATTACAATAAGTTTCGGAACGGCGGTGGCAGTAGAGAGATGACCGTTGACCGGTGGCAAACAAAAAATAAATAAATGTGCGAAATTAGATAGAGAAAATAAATAAAAAGAAAAATGTAAAGAATATAGAGGGGAAAAATTCAGAGGGTTTAAAAGAGAGAGAGAGAGTGAGAGAGAGAGAGAGAGAGAGAGAGAGAATGTGTGTGTGTGTGTGTGGTATTATTTAATATGTGTCTGTGAGTTTGGGCGTGGAAGCCGAAAGAAAATCTCTTTGTTAATGCGGCACATAAGGGGTTGGAGGAGAAACAGATAAAGGTTGAGATTTGAAGAAAGAGAGGAAAAGTAATTACAGTTATAAGACAGAAAGCAACAAAAATAAAAATACTGATCAGAGTAAATTACAAAGTGATGAAGAGAAATAGGATTTAAATGAGAGCGAATTTTAGAGATATTAAAGAAAAAGTGTTTTGCACGTGGGCAAAATAGCTAGAGAGAGAGAGAGAGAGGAAATGCAAATGTTTTCAAAAGGTGATGATGTTGAGAGCACTTTCAATTATTGTATGATTTTCTGTTTTTTATGTAGAACATACCTGCATGCGGGTGTAACTGTGTCGCCGTGAGTTTGTCAAAGAAAGATTAACAGATAAACAATGAAGACGAAGACAAATCAGTGTGTGTGTGTGTGTGTGTGTGTGTGTGTGTGTGTGTGTGTGTGTGTGTGTGCGCGCGCTCGCGCGTGTATATACATGGGAACTTGAAAACACTCCATATCGTACACATAAAAATCGTGTACATAAGTGTGTGTGTTTTGCCTATGTATCTAGATGACAATGCGTGGACATATGTATAATTGTGAAATATGGAAGTAGTACTAATTCTATTGATGCAATTTGTAGATAATAGTAATTACAAAGGCGATAATGAAAGAAGCATCTCAAAGGATGCAGAAATTGAAGGAATTGCAGAAAAAATATTAAACCGAAAGAAGAAAAAGAAGAAACACAATGAGTGATGTTAAAAAAGAGGATAAAAAACAAATAATACGAAAAATAATTTAAATGTGTAAAGAAAATGAAAGGGATGTGAAAAAAAGCTAATAAAAAGGTCTACAAAGTAAAAAGGAAGAAACGGAAAAAGAAAGAAAAAGAAAAAAGAAGAAAAGGGAAAAAGGAAGAAAAGGGAAAAAAGAATAAAGAGAAAATTAAGTAAAGAGCGGGCGCCAGAAATGTGTAGGAAGTTTTGATTAGCAAATGGCAACGGAAATAGGCAGAATAACGAGAAGTAATGGAATAATTAAAGTAAAAAAAATGGAAAATAGAAAAAAAAAGACTTGCAGAGAAGAAAGAATAATTAATAAACATCCATCAGTTTTCTGTTTTCAGTTTTACAATTCTTGATCACACTTCACTCAGTTTTACACGCACACACGCACGCAACGATCACTTCACACGTAGTTCTCACAATCCATCTGCATACACGTACGCTCATAAACGTACAAATACGTGTACATATAAATGTACATATATTTCAAAGCGTTCGTGCACACGCATACACATACACGCACGCGCACACAAACACACACATACACACGTGCTTAAATATAGACACGCCCACATTTTGTACACAAGTTAATATTGACACGCCCCATCTATCCGCATTCGCGTATATCTCACTAGGGCAAGGCATAGAGAGTAGGTTGAAACCCACGTCGCTGAGAGTGTTGTAGATTTTATTAGTTCTCACACATAGATATAGATACATAGATGCGATCGTTGACAGAGAGACTCGTGCACGTGAACAAGCGCGCGCACATCAACACCGAACGCGCGTGCGCACGGTAAACCACCTTTACTTCTCACCCTCTTGCACTGTTCTCCTCTCTTTTAAACTGAAGAAAGTAGTCCTCGTGAATACAAATTTGTTTACTGGAGATCGTATCATCCACCTATTTAAAAGCAAAGGCTTGAACAGGCTTTTCTAAGATATTTAACAACTTAATGTCCTGATCGATCATACTGGAATTCTTCACGCTACCAGTAAAGAAGTTTTATTTGCGAGACAAGCAGAACGATGCAGGCATTTCAAAGATTTTGTTGATTGAATAACTTTTTAAATCCTCCGTATTCTCTATCTCATTTTTCTCTCTCTCTCTTTTCCTACAGGTTCAGAAAAAATTCTATTAGGCTCCTGATTATTTTCCCTGCTGGGTCTCACAAGGTTTGTTGCCAGTTTCTGATTGGCCAAGTCAGCCTTTTTTATTTATTTTTTTTATAGGTGATGGGCTATATAAACTCACCGAGGCGGACCAATTCATATTAATGTTAGACTTTGCCGACGGGCACACCAACTTTTTCTAGCAGCAACACTTAATTCGAAAAGTCTGCTGGCCTTCCAGTAATCACAGGTTCAAGTTTGTCATGTGGTGGCTGAAATTCATTCTCTTGAGTTTCGGCGTTTGTTTGATTTTATTTACGCCGATATCTGCAGGAAGCGACCGAAAAACCGACCCGGCGTTCAGTCCATCATCGCCGGGTAACCGTATACACTCGAAGTCAGAATCCTGGCAGGGTCACCACGCCTCTGGCCATCATTCAAGACAAAAACAACTCAAACATCAACATCAACATGACAAGTTGTCGATGACCGTAGAATACGAGGATGATGATGATGATGAAACGGATAGGCTAAATAGCCAGCCTAAGAGCATCATGTTAGGCGCCGCTAAAAAGGCCGACGCCAGTATTAAGAGGCAGGGTTCCCAGTCCGATGAAGATGATTTGTTGGAAAGTAAGGGACAAGACAGATCATCAGCCGGTGCCACATCATCGAGTCGTGCCTCCAAAGTTTCCCAGATGAAGGATAGTACCAGTGAGGAGGCAGGGTACAACGGCACGACTCCTAAGTTGGACTCAGTTAAGAGCAAAATGCGTGAGGACGAGAGAAAACTCCGCCTCGCTTTGATCAAAGAGACTATTTTGAAACATTTGGGATTAAGTGCAGCCCCAGACATCCAAAACCCGTCGATACCCCAAATCCCTACAGTACAGAGGGCGATAAATGAACACCTGATGCAGAGGGACTCCCCTTATAACTCGGGGCGGGATAAGGATTCAGATACAGACGAGGATGGAGATACTTTACGACCTTTGCAAAGGATAATGGTGTCGTACTCAAGTAAGTAGCAAGCGGTATACTTCTCTTTTTCACAATATTCACTGAAATAATTTATTACAATGATGATGATGCAGTTTCACTGACTTTGCTGGGAAACAAGTGAATGTGTAACGAATGAACATTATTTTACCTTTAAATGCAACACATTTTCCTGTGATTCTATCTTTTGAGCATCTGTATGCTTTTTTTTATTAACCTTTTATTCTTTCTTCTTTCACTGCCTTTTTTTTTCTTCTTTTCTAGTTTTCTTATTTCTAAATCAGCTGATTTCTCACTGTCTTGTCTGTTGCTCTTTTATGATTTCACTTTTTCGATGTATCGTTCTCTTTTTAATTCACTCTCATGTATGTCAGTGATTAGACGTCTCTCTAGAGATTTATACACGAACAAAAAGACATTCCCACATAAACATATACATTAATGAGTGTGTGAGTACACAACAAAAACACATACATTTATAAATATTTATAGCTATGCATAATTTATTGGAAATTAATCAATTAATGGCAAACATGCGTTGGCAAAATTCTGCACCTCAAAATGAACCCAGCATGTTAGGATGTATTACGTTTTTACATGTGCATGTACAAAAGCGTAATAAAAGGTTTTTAATAAAACGTAATACATCCTAACATGCTGGGTTCATTTTGAGGTGCAGAATTTTGCCAACGCATGTTTGCTATTAATTGATTAATTTCAATAAATTATGCATTTGAATAAAACTGTCGCTGGGATGGTTTCATTTTAATAAAAAAACATCATAAACTATATATATATATATATATATATATATATATATATATATATATATATATATGTGTGTGTGTTTTCATCTTTTTAAACCCATAAACTGAAGTTGATCCGATCTATGATACTTACTCAGCTCAGAATCAAAGTTATTTATAAAAATGGTATACATTTTCACATTCAGTTAGCATAACCTCACCATACGGGCAAGATACGTTGAAAACACACACAACAAAATGCTTTCTGTTATTTGACTATCACTTGATTAATAGCAAGCATTTTTCAGAAAGTCAGCTTCATATTCAGTGTTTTTAAAACGTCTGCGAAAAACAGTGAAACAATTTTCAGAACACCTGACGTTTATAATAGTTGTATTTCCAGATTTTATTATATTAATTTACTTTTAGGATCTATCTATCTATCTATCTATCTATCTATCTATCTATCTATCTATCTATCTATCTATCTATCTATAGATAGATAGATAGATAGATAGATAGATAGATACTACAGATTTAATAGTAAAATCACACAGAGCATACCAATATTAACACAAAAGATATTAGGCTTCCAAATTTAGTTCTCAGTATAATCTTTCTTTCTTTCTTTCTTTCTTTCTGAATTATGGTATTCCCCTTTTGAAAAATGGCACGTATACCTGTCTCGTAGAATCTTTCTTGTTGCCTCGTAGAATCTTTCTTGTTAATTTTTAGCCATGTACAAATTACCTTTTGCCACACATAAAAAAACTGCTGTCATTTGAGTGCATCTTTCCTGGGCCCAAAATGATGAAAATCTGAGGGGGCAGAACTCAAGGTTGGAGGGAGGAGACAGCACTAAATTGCAATATCAACCATGCTTCTCCTAAATACTTTCACAGAATTTTAAAAAAGTGATTCTTCTGTCGGCTGTGATGAAATCATCAATCTAATTGACCTTATACTCATTTACAGCAAAAGCAACTTTCCACTCACTACGGGAGACTGCCACTGAGATTAGTTTCTCTTTTCTTTTTACGATGGCTTGTGATATTACTGAACGCAAACTCATTATCTCTGCTTTGATCAAATGCAGCCTTTGAGAGTCTACTGCAGGATAAATGTCATTGCCTAAATCTTTTCAGAACCACTACTACTGCTATTCTCTGATATTACTTCCCAGAACGTCTCTCTTTGTTATATCTTCATTTTTTTGTCTGATCTTGCCTTGTGCGTTTGCTACCCATGGGGGATCAACCTTTTACTCCATCTGTTATCTTGCCTTTTGCTATGTGCACCAATCACTCCGATTTTGTAGTTTAATTGTTTATCTCTTAATTTGTTCCGTAATATACGTTAACCACTTCCTATCTCTTAGAATTATGTCAAACATTGATCCTTCTATTGATATTTGTGCGTTTGTAGCTTTCTTTCTAACTAGATGCATTTATATGCATGATTTTGAACAATCTTAAGCATCATTTTCTTAATAATACATTAAAGGTTTCGAGTTACGCCATACTTACGATGGCTCATTTAGTATTGTAATTAATGCGGCAATAAGAATAAAACAATATTACTTATTCTTCAGAATTTGCTCTTAAACTGTTTTAGCCGCCTTTAAGTATTGTTCATTTATATATAATAGCATCTTGTATTATGACCCGATCAACTTCCCAAACATTAGAATTTGGTGAAGGAAATCGTTTCTTGTAATGTAATGTTCAGCATACCTATTTCTGCGTAATTGCGTATTTTTATTTATTTAATTAATATTAATACAGAATCTGTTAAATCAATCTGTCCAATTACAGTGCTTAATTTGTTTGACCAATCCTCCCACAGATGACCTTTTTCATGCGCTCACCTTGTTTTGTTCTATAATAACGAGTGAGATGATGTTAGGAGGTTAGCCCCACCCTTTGTCCGTACATATTTGTGTATCTTTATATCCGTCAGCTGATATGACGCTTGCTGCTACAGTTTTCGCAGTCTTCTTCCAACACAACTAAGTTTTGCCAAACTTACAAAACAAATATCTTGTAATATTTTATAAGCAAAAGCATTTTAATGTCGAATATACAACAATATGAATAAAAAATAATCATTATTTAATTAGGCAAATTAATTGCATCAGATTTAAATTCAATGAAATATTTTGAACTTAAAAAAGGTACTAGTTTTACATTGGTGTCAAGTCGATGGAGTTAAAATTATTATAAACGTTAAAAGATATCATTTAAGACAAATCCTTCATAATTACTAAGAAATATTGCTTCTTCTTGTATTGGTGGATGTCTTCTTTTTTTCTTTTTATCGTATCATCATTTTACATATTGACTTAGCTTTGAATTTATTTATAATAGGTGAAAAGTAAAATTAAGCTAGAAGTTACATGATAAATTCTCATGAATATTCCAAAGTATTTACTTTTTATGTTTAGTTATGCAGGTGTTATCAAAAAAAAATAAATTTAACGTTGAAAAATACTCTACTTAAAAAGTATATTTTTTTGTTTGTCATTGTACCTTGTACTCACTTAGCTTGTGAAAGTGGTGAGAAACTGAAGAACTTGATTTTTTAATTTGACTTCTGACTTTACAATGACAGGAATAATGCACTATTAAAGTGAATACTGGAAAACGAAAAATTGTATTAGGCATTCCGTTATATTTCCCAAGACCCCACCCCTGCCAAAAAATATAATGTTTTTCATTTTCTATATTTAATTAATTTGATGTATTTCTTTATTCCGTTTGTTCTAAGAAATCAGTAAAAGTATTTGTTTTTAGGGACTGAGATTCCCTGTTAGTATCCCTTCTGTGTTGGTAGTAATTTAAAGTTGTTTTATTCAATGGAATATAGTGGAGGACAAGTTCATCAAATGGTTACAAACCTTTGTCAATTAATCGTTACAGCTGCATCAACATACCTTTTCTAATTCTACACTTTTCGTATTACACATCTTTGCCGAGGTTATTTATTTGTGGAAATTCTGATTTCGAATTCACGTGAACCTTTGTGTTGCTACCAATAAATCTGTTACCATTATGATACAAACATATTAATCTTCGAGGATTTGTACTTTACTTCACATTGCAACACATCTTTTCAACTGCACTTAATATTTTAAGAATTAATAGATTCATCAACAAATATAGATCTACGAGCAATAATAAATTCCCTCTCTCGCAATATTTTTGGCGTTTTGTGTGTGTGGCACCAACACTAATTGTTGAAACTGTTGTTAACTATACATTGTTCATATTTACACTTTCTTGTTGAGTTGGAATCAGAAAGCTTCAGTCATAGTTAATAAAGAGAAAGAAGGAAAACTGAAAAACAGAGAGGAATTTCGTTTTTTCATGGAAATGGATTTATTATATTCTGTAATATCATTTACTATAATGAATAGGGTGTTTGGAAAAAATGGCTTCCGGGAACGGTCCTATACAGTTAACATTTTAATAGGAAAGGGTGCAGAAAAGTTCTTGTTTCGACTCAGCTCTCGAAATCTGAGAAAATATCATTTTTTTGAAAGGCTTCTTGCTCGGTTTGAGAACAGTTTAGTAACCACCCAGCGAGCACCCACCACACAAGATAATCACAAGCAAACATACACATACCAATACATATAAACAGATATCTAAATCTCTTAGAATATATATATATATATATATATATATATATATATATATATATAGATAGATAGATAGATATGTGCGTGCGTGCGTGCGTGTGTGTGTGTGACAAGGGGAGAATATAGTACGTTCAATAAAACTATATTACTCATGATCAGTTAATTTATTTAAGACCTCATGAAGAAAAAGAGGAAAATTTGATTAAATTATAATAGTCATGATAGAATTTATAAAACTGTTTACTCGTGTGTGCATGTTGCGTGTGTATGTGTGTGTGCAGGCACACACACACACACACACACACACACACACACACATTCACGCATGATATCTGATCGCATCTGTACAGAGAGATACAGGACTGAGGTAAAAAAAAAACAACAAAAAAACAAAACGAATTGACTTGAATACTTTTTTTGAGCTTAAAGTTAAAAAAAAGTTTACCTACCAATATTTATTAGTTTGTTGGGTACATATGCATGTAGATATGCATGTATATATGCATGTACATATATGCATATTATGAACAAAATCATTACTACAGACTAAGTTTGATATCTACACACGTTAACATGCTTATTCTATATATTTATATAGTAGAAGATCCGTTCATTTAATATTAGCAAAAAGGTGCTTTTGTCCTCCTCCTCAAAGTAGACCTCTTGTGGCCGTTCATTTTTTCAAAACGGTTTGCAGTCATCTTTTGGGATACCCATTAGTTACCTCGTCATATTCTCTTTAATATCTTCCACGGTCTGAAATCCTCGCTTTCAACTGGAAAGAGACAAAAGTAACAGCAAATCACAAAAGTATGTGGGCAGTGCTCACCACGAGTAGACTCGAGTGATGAGATATTATGTCAAAACATCGACTCCGGGACTACAGTGTAGAAGACCTTTTCCAGATTACCGACACACCTCGTATACACTCCAACCACCTCTGTGTCAATAAATAAATAAATAAATGTGTATGTGTGTGTGTGTGTGTGTGTGTGTGCCGTTTAAAAGTGTAAAGTTTATAGATAGGTTTATAGGTAAATAAAAAGTTTGTAGAGATAAACAATATGGGCAACACTGCATGATGCCTAGCAGTTTCATGCCTTAAGCGATCATTATACCCAATGATAGTCGCTAAAGGCGTGAAGCTACCAGTCACCATGCAGTGTTGATTTATATGTTCACAATCAATCTATCTATCTATCTATCTATCTATCTATCTATCTATCTATCTATCTGTAGAGTCATGGTTAATTATTTGCTGCTTCGACAGCCTTCATCGTTATGTAGCTACACATATACACACAATTCTGGTCTCGTATCCTGACATACATACAAATATTAATAATGTAAATGATGAAAGGAATATGTATATGCTCAATATTATATTACTGCAGGATCAAATGTTATTCGTAGTTCATACATGAACTTATTCTTGATTATTGTATACATATGAGTGTGGTTGTAAAAGTCTACGATTTTCGCCAGTTCTCATTTTGGGGTAATTTATACTTGCAGTAAAAGGCATTTGCGTTATACTACTGTCGCTTTCTTGTTAAATATCATGTAGTGACCTTGGCAAATTACAATCAACAGGACTAGAAAATGACATGAGTGTAAAATATTTAAATTTATGCCTTTAGAAGTGGAAAAAATGAAAATGTGGAGAAGTTACAGGGTTTAATCGCGGTTTAATCCTTGTAAAATTAATTAGCTAGAATAAACACTTAAGCTAAAATGCTAATAAGCAAAATACTTTGCTGTATTGCAAAACTAATTTAAATTGACTGGGAGGAAGTGTTTTGTTTCGAAATCGCTAAAATCTGTGATTTTATCGCCATTTTTAGCCATCTGTCAGCAAAATGTAAT